ACACACCTATCGCGGAGTTCTTTGGAACATTCAACGTTAGTCGCGGTATACAACTGCGACTTTAACCTATTCGAATCTCTCGATCGCATCGATCGTCTATCGTGGTTGTCTTTAATATCCAAAGCATAACAACGTTACCTAGTTGATAAACAGGTACACATCCTAATCTCCACGGTTGCTCAAATAATTCACTTCTCTGTTCGCTCGATTGCTTACAATTAGCGTCGTTAATTTCAAATCCCTCGAGCACGAACGAACGCCAACGAATTTATCGATATTTTCCATCGTCTAGTCGTACTCCTTCGGCTTTGTAACGATCACAAGGTTCGAAACAAGTGCCGACGTTAATCGCTTCGTATATTTCTCGATAAAAATTGTATATTACTTCCAGACGAGTATCTATTTATACGTATATTACGTGTACATATGAGAGGAAAGAAAATTGTATTTATTTAAGAGTGGTACTGTGAAAAGTAAAATATTTTATTACCTTGCACGTACGCGTGCATCGCCGCGCTGCTCCGCGTCGTTCAACCGTATGACGTCCATTTTAATCATCAATTGTCAACATATTACGTAACGATAAAAAATTCATCGATACATGTATATACTTTCTATACAATTGCGCATACGTCAAATGTTTAATAAAAATATTTCTTCTTTCGTGGAATTTCAACGATTATATAAAAGTGTGGGTGTCCATGGAACCAGCTGTACCGTGATTCTACGATATATAGTAATTGCTTTCTTTCTACTCGTCGCCTCGAGATGGAAACGTTCCTTCGATCGACGATAAAACCATCCATACGAATCACGGTTTAATTACAAATGCGATTAGGAACGTATCGTCTATCTTATACACGTTGCTGCTTAGACTTCCGAAATGAAAGCGATTTCATCCTCCAACGAGTCACATGCGTCCAAGTACCATAGCTAACAGTGCCATTCGAACGTAGACACCGTTTTCGGCCTGCCTGAAATAAGCGGCGCGTGGATCCGTGTCGAATTCCGGACTGATCTCGAAAACCCTTGGCAGAGGATGCATCACCACCATCTTCCTCTTTGCTCGTGACATCAGCTGCGGCGTTATCACGAAATGTCCGCAAACCTGTGAACAAACGGTTCTTGTAATCTCTGTCTCTGGCGGAAACGACGTTGGGCACGATCGTTTTACCTGTCGATATTCCTCCTGGGTGGTGAAACGTTCCTTCTGAATGCGTGTCATGTAAAGAACGTCCGTGTCTGTAAGAGCGTCCTCGAGGGTGTTAAACTGCTCCTGCTGGATCCCACGTTCGGACACGTACTTCGACACGTGATCAGGCATGCCAAGGCCAGGTGGGCACACGTAACGAAGCTCGACGTTGTAAAGAGTCAACAATCTGTGAAGAGGCAGACGCGTTTTCGAAATGTGAAATGTTACGTCATTCGACGTAAGTCCGATAGATGAAATCGAGTCGCTGACCTTGCTAGGGAATGGACAGTTCTACCATGTTTCAAATCCCCGACCATAGTGATGGTCAGACCGTTTACCGTACCGATCTCGTCTCTTATTGTGAAGATGTCGAGCAACGCTTGCGTCGGGTGTTCGCCGACGCCGTCGCCGGCATTTAATAAAGGCTTTCTACAGTGCTGAGCAGCTCTCTGGGACACCAACACGAGATAAGCGCGTTTATCGCTGAAAATATTTCAGGGGGAAAATACGACGAAAGTAAATGCTCACCGATACAGCGCCAGGTTCCGGATGCCGAAGCACCAGCACGTCCGCGTACCCAGCCATCACCGCTATCGAATCTGCAACAGACCGGCATCTTACCGTCAGACCAAGTACCGTTCGTTCTTGATCGTACGGTGTCAGACACAACCGCAAACCTTCCAAAGTTTCTCCCTTCTTCACAGACGACGTGGCACCGTCCATGTATATCACTCGTCCTCCCAGTCTCTCCATTGCAGCCGCGAAGCTGCAAGAGGTTCTCGTGCTCACCTCGTAGAAAATCGACGCCATCACTTTCCCCTTTGTGAAAACGATTATCAACGAACGATTCGATCGAGACGAAACGGCACACCGTTAACTAACAATCCTACCCGTAAGATATGGTCCAGCGGCCGTTCTTTCCTAATAGCACTTCGTAGAATTTCCGCGAGATGAAAGATATCTTTCAGCAACTCTTTGTTGAAGATGTCCACGGTGAGAACGTTGTGCCCGGCTAGATTGTGGCTGGTGTGAACAGAGGGGACGGGAGGTACAGGCGTCAGCAGGAGATTTGGATTGCTGTCGCTTTTGTGTTTGGTCGCTGTGCTAATAGGAAGAGGCGAAATTGTACGCTGTTGGATGGTTAGCAATTTCGCCTGCTCGCGCGAGTCTACGTCCAGGGCAAAGTGTACGTTCGACTTGTGCGACGCTGTTTGCAGCAGTAGCGCATACGGTTCTGAAAGAAACGATCGAAAACGGTTCGGGGTATAGATCGGCGGAGAGATACGATTCTTCTTTCTTTCTTTACCGTTCTGTTCCTCCTCCGACATATCAGCTGCCCTTTCCGCGAAATTGTTGTACTTATCGTAATTAGGCGATAAGAGGCCGTCCAAAGCAGAGCCCGGTCGGCTAGTCACGTCGATTACCGGACCGTTCGCTACCGTTTGAAGCTTCGTCTTTGCTTGAACCTCCCTGATATCCTGGCCGAAGCCAGGATTCACCAGGACCTGCCCTTCGACGTAAGCAACTTCTCCCCTCAAAACTACCCTGTGCACCGATCCACGAACTTTCATTCCAGCGAACGGAGTCCACTTCGATTTGCTAAAAGGCATCGCTTCTGGGATTACCCATTCGTCGCCTAGATCGACCTCGATGTAGGTATTTGGCTGGTCTGGTATATTGAAGATTCTTTTCGGATTTTTATAGAGTTTGTCAATCACATCCTAGAGAACCGAGTTGGGATAAGGAATTTAGTCGAATAGCCGTTTATCTCCTCATGGAGAGATACGAGAAGATACGAAGGTAGGAATGTGAACAACTATCGTTATACATATACAGCTACCTCTATCGTTAATTTGCCTTCGTGAACCGCGGTGAGCAAAAGTGGAAGTATGGTTTCCAGTCCGGGAAATCCTGGTGGTGGTTTCTCGCTGGATTTCTCTTGCACGGTATGAGGCGCTTAAACGTTCAAAACACAAGTTTAACTGCCAAGTTAACTGGCACATCTCGTAATCGCGATCTGCTTGTAAATAGGACTGACCATGGTCGGTCGCGAAGCAATCGATTATATCTAAATTTTCCCAAAGTGCCTGTTGATCTTCCTTCGTTCCTAATACTGGCCTCACCTGGCCTCGTCCGTGCCCTATGCGCTCTAGATCTTCCTCGCACAAGAACAAATGGTGAGGGCACACTTCGCAAGTCACGGCCATTCCCTGAAGATAGGAAACGTTCGTACGAGGTTGTAACGAGCCAACACGGCAGGGTGATTACCTTTTCTTTAGCAGCGCGTATTATTTGGATCTCCTCCTTACGGGCTACGTGGCAAATATGAATAGGCCTGTTGTGCAAGCCGGCCAACAACAGAATCGCGGCTGTTGTTTGACCCTCGGCGTGCACGCAGATTGGATATTTCTTAGGCCACGTCTGAAAATGCTGATAAACAACGGAAACGTGTATTTTTTCCGTTCGAATTAGGAAACGGGTACAGAGAAGATTACTCTCGGCGTATATACCTTAATCCAGACGGTAAGATCGGTCAATCGAAGCGTGGTGAACGTCTCGTTCAGATACATCTTAAGACCGGCCGCCAGTGGAGCCAATTCTGCCGTAACGCAAAAGTTATCCGAGGAGGCTCCTACGTAAATCGCGTAATCACATCTTGCGGCGGAAAGGGCGCGCTGCGAGGTGGAAAGTAAAAAAATACCGATACTACGTTAAAGCGCGCTACTTTCAAGCAAACGTTCATTCCCTTACTTCCTTGGCCAGAGCGAAGGTTTGATGATCGACCACGGCGGGATTGGTGTTGGGCATCGCGAAGATCGTAGTGATGCCTCCAGCGAGCGCAGCAGCGGTGCAAGAAGCAAAGTCCTCCTTGTAGACCGCTCCAGGATCACGGGTGTGCACGTGGACGTCAATGAGACCAGGAAGCTTGATCATTCGCCGCGACGACATGCAGTCCGTGTGAGTCTTCATACGAGGTGCACGTCCGTCGAGCATTCTCATAGCCTGCGCAACGAGACCGCATCGTAACAACGTGTCTCGAACAACGCCGGTAAAAGGGTATGTAAATGTCTGGCACTTACTTCGACCAGCAGTTTGGCACATTTCACGTCCGTGATCAAGGGAACGGAATAATCGACGGCTAGTCTTCTCGTGCGGTATCCGTGTGTCATGAAATTAGAAACGCGGCGTGCACCGCCGTTCCTCATTGGTAAATTAATCACGAGGTCGAACTGTTTCTTCCAGAGGAAATCAGCCAAATGCCGAAGATCGCTCGGACTGGAATTTTCGTTCACGCTTATATTTTCAAATGTCCATTGTACCGGTTCTACCTGTATCACGAATAAAACATTCATCGTTGTCTTCTATTTAACAGGTACCGTTTTGCTTTTTTAAGTATTAAACGATGATTAGTAGAAGATTTGGTCGTTATCGTTGGTATGATTCAATTATCGTTTCTCACCGGGCTCTATCTACGCGATAAAGATCCGTTAATAAGCGATACATTTCTATTACACGGTTGAAAAAAGACGAAGCTGTTCCAATTGAAATGCGTAAAAGCTCTAAAACAGATTATACCCACGCTACGTGAAATATAAAAGAATGTTTTATTTCGTCCGATATATTACACCGAAATTGATCTGCGATTGTACCGAATACCGGATTGTTCACCGGTAAGATTAGATAAAGATCAATTTTCCTCCTAACACACTCTTATCTCTGATATCAATGTCATGAAAATCGAGCGTTAGTTGTACACGCTTGGTAAAGTTATAATATCGGTTTTACGATTAATTAAGTACTCCCCGGAAGGGAGAGAAACATTTCGCTTCATCCCCTGTTCCTATCTGGCGTGTAATGGAAGCCACAGAGGCAACAGTTGCGGCGTGGATGGTCGAAAAATGATGGGGATATTTGCCGATAGCCGATAGCAAGCACCGATTAAACCATTCTGCTGCCTACAAAGCTTGATAACGATAGGTAGGTAGGTATTTATCGGTAACTCGACAGTATCCCACGCAACTGGATTACCGTGTCGTCGATGAGCGAGTACGTGTTGTATCGCGTTTACATGGGCCGTGATCGCAGACGTTGAACCCCCGTTAAACTGTGAAGACCAACGAGGATAACTAACAACGAGGCAACAGCGTCGAATCGTTGCCAGCTGTTGATCGTTAAAAAGCTGTGGTTCTGTGGGAAAAGCAAGAACGGGAAATGGGCAATTCCAAGATCAAACCTCCGAAAAAAGCATCTGGAAAGAACGTATACAATGGCCAGCACGAAGGTGCCGGGACTCCGGGCAGCCGCGAAGAGGAATACACCGACAAGGAGCTGTTCCTCTTGAGAAGAGCTATCCAAAGGAATCCAGAGATGTTCATATTGAACAATCTGATGATGTGCGTTCAGTTCTTCGGGAATTACGAACAGTAAGATATCCTCCATTTTCTAAACAGCGTGCGTGCTCTACGTAGCATGCCACGAGGATCTTGATTAATCCGTTAACTTAAGACCACGATAAAAACCGTCCGTCATCTTTCAGAGAAATCAAACACGTGAAGGAGTCACTGGTGTCGTCGTACGAAACGGAAATGAACAAGCGTTTACCTACGCAGAGGCACGTTCTACTTCCGGACATTCTCCAAGAGCACATCGCTAAAAACGTCGGTTTCACGTCGACGAGGCAAAACTTTCTGCCCATCATCGAACCCCTGCAACCCGTTCGAATTTACATGGTCCACGAGAACGTGGACGTGTTGGAGCAGTATTATTCGCCGCACTATAGCAGCGTCAACGATTCGGTCACGTACACTACACTGTTGAAGCCGACCAAGCATCAAGGTAGGTGGAACATTTATCGACGTTGTACAATAGTTTGAGCTTTCGTTCAACGAAATACATCGTATATCGTATATCGTTCCAGGATACGTGCAGCTTCAGCTTGTCGACGAGACTGGCACGTCGAAGAAGATGAACAAAGAGGAGGATGAAATTGATTTATCATCGATAGCCGAGGACGACGACGAGTTGTACAGTGACGGCGACAGCATTTACGGACCGAATCTCTCCGATAACACGACGACCATGTCCGGAAGAGTTCCCAAGCACAGTTTATCCAAGAGTTCCAAGTCTCTGCCGAATTTGTGCGACGAAGGAATTTCATCGGTGAATCGCAGCGCTACGAAAGCCGAGACTGACTACGAGTATTATTCCTCTTACGAGGAACGAAGACGTCGCACTAAACGAGCCTGGTCGAAGCAAGAGTTATCGAAACGGGAGAAAGTATCGCCGCAATCGAAAACTCAAGAGTCCACGCAGAATCAACTGGATCAAGCGAGCAACAACAGTTCTGGATATCGATCTGACAATTACGCGACCAACAGCGGCGGCAGCAGCAGTTACAATCCCACTCAGAATTCGAGGTTCTCTTCGAGCAGCGAAGTAGCCGAGTGCTGGAGGAGCGGAGAGTTTCCGAATCGTTGTTTCAAAAAGGTCACGTACACAGCTGAGGGGAAGCTTTACGATCCCAGGGAAGAGAAGATGTATCTAATGGACAGCAAGCAACGAAGGATCAAGCTGGCGTTGAAGCGACACAATTACGATTTAATTTACATGAGCAGCACTGAGTTTATGAAACACTTTACGAGCATGTTCGTACATCGGTGGGCCGAATCTCTCGGTTTCGATCGAGAATCGGTAGAGGACGTCCGACGAGAGGGGTGCGTGCTCCATTGCGACAAAGTAATGATTTCTCGCGTATTTAAACACAGTCGAGTGGAACAGTACCAGATTATTCCGGCGATTTGGCTGCAATGGCCGAATTGTGCCGAAGAATGGTTAGATAGATCGCGAAACACCTGGCCTGACTTCAACGACATAGAGAAGGTCAAAGACTTTGGATGCTACGTGGTGCCGGAAGGGTTCGTGCCGAAAAAAGGGAACAGCAACGCTATGATGGATTTCGAGTGGCAGCTCACGTTCCCGGCTGCCGAACGATACCTCGAAACATGTTTGACGCATGCCCAAGCGCAGGTCTACCTGGTGGCACAGGTACTCCACAAGACGTACATGAGACCGATTTTCGACACGATGTTCAGTCTCACCACAGCTCACATCAGGCACAAACTATTCTGGATGATCGAGGAGGACGAGAGGCAGCTCAAGTGGCCCGAGAACAGAATGGGAGAGTGTTTGTTAAAGTTGCTCGATTCTTTGTACATCAGCATCAGCCAGTACGAACCGGTACTCAGAGACTACTTCGTCAAGGAGAGAAATCTCCTTCAACATATACCCAGCGAACGGAGCTACCTGTTGTCCACGCAGAAACAACTGAAACGTATCAAGGAAAATCTGGTGATGTACGTTTTCCACGCGATGGAAAATATTCAGTACAGGAACGATCTCTTCCCGAAACTCGACTACGAACAACTGTTGAAAATATTAACGGCGGACACGTTGTCCTTGGCTAATCCGACCTTGATGCAACATATTTCGAGGGCCGAGCCGCGTAAAAGCGTCGAACGCGGTGTACAAGATGAGACACACAAGACGTTAATTAATCCCAACAAGGACAGGGACTCTGTCGTCGAAATCTTGGTAAGGTTTTCTCGCGATAAGCTCCCTATCGCGAACAAACGTACGTCATTAAGCGATGCGATGCGATGACACATGCGTGGTCATCAAGGTCGCGTGCATTCTTAACATATTCCTCTAACGTTCGCGCTATCTTCCTCGCGAAAACGAGAATATTGGTGAATCGTCGGATTCCGGCGACGTCACGCAAACTCGACTCGAGATCTTTTTCTTCCACGGATAACAAAATATGTATATATACATATACGGTTCCCTCCAGGAAACGTAATATCTCCCGTTCGATAACAAACCACTGCGATTAAATTAATTTACTTCTAATCCACCGACCTCTAATCTTATCTACCTACGATATACGATGATTATACATAGAAAATATTCTATCCGAGATTAGGAAAAAAACATGTTACAATTCCAGTTTACTTTTCTCCAGGTCCGATGTGCCGATTTGGACATTCCGAGATTATGCTCGCTTTTAAACTTCTTCATTACGCATTTCATCAAGATAGCCGAATGCTGCAATCATTACCAGGCTCATCGGCAGAAGACTATTTACCTCGATCACGCGGATCGACTGGCCATCCTTCTTTTCGAGCAAGAGCTCTTCAAGGACGAAGCTCGAGCCTATCGCGACAAGATCAAAGTGCTCAGGTTGAAGACGGCCAGTTCGAAATCGGCAAACGACCCGCCAGACACTCCCAAGAGAAACGCGGAAACGCCTATATTCGTTGTATCGTTGAAGGACCGTTTCGGGCGAAACGTTCACCCATCCAAGGGAACGAGTAATCGGAAAGAAGAAGAAGAGATTGTGACCAAGGCGATTGTTCACGAGGAGAGCCATTACGAAGAACCTTACGAAGAACGGATCTTGAACATTACGAATAGTAAACTGACGACGACGACGACGACGAGCGAGGTTCAACTTTCGGAAGTAAAAAGCCACGAGCAAGAACAAATTCTACAGTTGCCCCCTTCACCCAACCCTACAGATGCCGAAACCACGTACATTTAGGGGAAACAACCTACATTTCTACATTTCATCGACGAGTTTCGCTATTTCATTCCAGTATATTTAACTTCACTGCCTCTACTTATTCGTTCGTCCGTTCGCCAATAAATTCTTCCATACTACACGTGTAATGTCCTTTACTTTTATCAGTGTCAAGTTTTCAAGTTACCTCTATCTATTCTACTTACCTCTATCCCGTGCGACGTGTAAAAATCCGCGGTACCCATGCTGGCGTACAATTTGTATCCCATCTCGTGAAGGTTGTAGATGGACGGTAACAGTTCCACCTTGTGCTATAATCGAAACGACAACGCTAGAACGGCTAGTTTCTAGAGAACCTGCTGCGAAAATCTCCGATTGGAAAAATTTCACCATGTACCTTGTACGTTCCTATCGAGAGTAAAATACCCTTTTCTGGTATATGAAAACCGGTGCTCATCATTCCCTTCAAATAAGCCTCGTATCGATTATCTCCGAAACAAGCGACTTCCCCGGTGGACACCATTTCTACACCCAACATCACGTCCGCACCTATTCGTACAATTGTAAAATATCACTTTCATATTCCGTTTCAACTACGAACGGCTTCGGCTGCGGCGTCTAAAATGTGTACGCGTTACCGGCAAGACGGGAGAAAGAAAATTGCGGCACTTTAATGCCCACTTTGCCACATCCAGCGAGAACATCCACAGGATCCACGGGCTCTCCAACGATCAATCGCGTAGCCATAGCCACGAAATCGTAATCCAAAGTCTTCGAAACGAAAGGGAAGGATCTGGAGACCCTGACGTTGCATTCGATCACTTTCAGCTCGTTATCCTACGTTCGAAACAGATAGAAACAGAATCGAAATATGTGAATCACGATAGAGCAAGTTGGTGTATTAAGTACCTTCGCGATTAGTTGCATATTAAAGGGACCAGTTACGCCTAAAGATGCGGCAATCGCTTTCGACATCATTTTTATCTTGGCCAGTGTCTCCGTGTTAATATCCTGCGGCGGAGTGACCAAGGTAGCATCGCCTGAATGAACTCCCGCGTTCTCCACATGCTCCGACACCGCCATGCAAAGAATAATCCCGTCGTAGGCAACCGCATCGACGTCTATCTCTTTTGCTTCCAGGATAAACTTCGATATAACCACCGGATGTTCTTTGTTCACCTCGCTGGCGCTCTTCAAATACGATTCTAGATCGTGATTAGAGTGCGCCACGTTCATCGCGGCGCCGCTTAATACGTAAGAAGGACGCACCAAGCACGGATAGCCCACCTCGTCGCAAAATTCGATCGCCAACTTCAGGTTTGTCAGTTCCTTCCACCTACGCACCAAATCTCTCTCGTTAAACCGTTTCCAATAGACTCGGTTAGATTTTCGTTACCTCGGTTGCGAAATCCCAATGCTGTCCAGCATCCGAGAAAACTTGAAACGATTTTCTGCTCCGTCCACGGACTCTGGCGATGTCCCTAGAATTCTGGCTTGCTGTCTATGAAGATCCATAGCGATATTATTCGGCAATTGACCGCCCATCGACAAAATTATCCCTTCTGGAGACTCGTGATCGTAAATGTCCATAACCACTTCGAAAGATATCTCCTCGAAGTACAACCGATCGCTCATGTCGTAATCGGTGCTGACAGTTTCTGGATTATAATTCACCATGATCGTTTTTCTTCCCAAATTTCGTAATTCCCGCAGACAACTGACCGCACACCAATCGAACTCTACCGAGCTACCTATCCGATACACCCCGGAACCTGCAATTTACTACTCCGTGAAAACGTTACACGAATCCAACTCCCACCCGTCACATTTTCCTCCTCCTCCTTCCTTACCTATCACCATCGTGTGCCCGCCAGGGAACTCCACGTCGTGCGTGATCCCGTTGTACGTCAAGTAAAGGTAATTCGTCGTGGCTGGCCACTCCGCAGCTGCCGTGTCTATCTGCTTCACCATTGGTCGTATATTACTCTCCTGTCTCTGTATCCTAACCGCTAATTCCGAACTCTTAACCACCGCTGCGATCTGCTTGTCGGAGAATCCTATCTGTTTCGCGCGCAGCAAAATGTCGTGTGATAATTTCGTGTGATCGGTGTTCTCCAAGACCCGATAGTAGTCGATCACGTTCTTCATCTTGTGCAAAAACCATCGATCAATTTTCGTCAGACCGTACAATCGATCGATCGTGTATCCAGCCTTTAGGGAGGCTGCAAGAACGAACATCCTCTTGTCCGTTGGTTTCTCCAACTCCTCGTCGTTAGGGACCTTTACGTACGGGTCGAAACCGTTTACATTCTCGTCCACCATTCGCAACGCCTTCTGGAAGGCTTCTTCGAACTTTCGACCAATCGCCATCACCTCTCCTACGCTCTTCATAGAGCTACCGATCTGAAATTTTTCGATCCAACGTTTCATCAAACTTTACATCGTTATACGAGTATAGAAATATACCTTTGTGCTGACTCGATGAAATTTACTGAGATCCCATCTTGGTATCTTGACCACGCAATAATCAAGGCTGGGCTCGAAGCAGGCCGTAGTTTTTCCAGTAACCGAATTATCGATGTCCGGCAGTCGAATACCGAGAGCTAGCTTGGCAGCTACGTACGCCAACGGATAGCCGGTCGCTTTGCTCGCCAGAGCTGAACTTCGAGACAACCTCGCGTTCACTTCGATTATGTAGTACTCCTCGCTGTTTGGATTCAACGCGTACTGAATGTTGCATTCGCCGATGATACCAAAGTGTCTGATCACGGTTATGGCGGTCGTTCGAAGCATATTGTACTCCTTGTTGGACAAAGTCTGGCTAGGAGCGACAACGATCGATTCCCCGGTATGAATACCGAGAGGATCTACATTCTCCATGTTGCAAACTGTGATACAATTGTCGTACGCGTCACGGACCACCTCGTACTCCACCTCTTTCCAACCCTGCAACGATTTATCGATGATCAGCTGATTCGAGTGAGCCAACGCTTGCTGCGCGAGGCACCTCAGCTCTTTCTCGTTATTCGCGAATCCAGATCCTAAACCACCGAGAGAGAAGGCTGCTCTGGCCATCACCGGGTAGCCTAACACTTCAGCCGCGTCAAGTGCCTGAGAGAAACAACAACAGCAACATGACGAGGAAAGAGAGAGAAGACGGTCCAATTTCTCACCTCTTGAATCGAATAGACCGCCGCGCTTGGCGCTACTTTTTCGTTTATCTCACCGATGCGATCTGAAAACATCTTTCTGTCCTCTGTCTCTATCACCGACTGTATCGGCGTTCCCAGAATCTTCACGTTATATTTCTCGAAGATGCCGCTCTTCTCGAGCTTAACGCCACAATTCAGAGCGGTCTGTCCGCCGAACGTCAAAAGCACACCGTCTGGCCGTTCCGAGTGTATCACCTGAAACGAAATGCGTGATCGTCAGAAAGGTAGAGCTAACGCCGAGCTAACGCCGAGCTAACCCCGAGCTACCTGTTCCACGTATTCCGGTGTAATCGGTAAAAAGTAAACTTTGTCCGCCATCCCCTTGGAAGTTTGCACAGTTGCGATATTCGGATTGATCAGAAGCGTTTGCACGCGTTCTTCTCGCAACGCTTTAATCGCTTGCGATCCCGAGTAGTCGAATTCGCCTGCCTGCCCGATACTGAGACCGCCGGATCCCAGAATCAACACTTTCTTCGGTCGAAAAGACACGTCCAACTTGTCGACGTAGAAGAAGCCCAGCTTCTGATTCAACCTCTCCTTTATAGAAACCGGCCGGTTCCCTTTCGCTTCGTCGACCACGGCATCCAAAAACACGTCGAACAGACATTCCAGATCTTGGGGGCCAGCGGTGTGTTCCGGGTGAAATTGAACCGAGAAGTAAGGCAGGCTGGAATGCACGACGCCTT